GAAAATGAGGCTATCTCAACCAAGATTACTCACTGTCACATCTGTACGAGCCTTTAGTTCATGGGGATCACGAAGGGGCTGTCACACGACCCTCCAAACATTTTACCACAGGAATCAGTGGTTTTGTCTGGAATTAGTCACAAAGAGCATTAAAGGCAGATAAATGAGATGGTAAAACTACTGGTGTGGGAGGGAATAACATGTTGGTAGTAGGTAGGAAACACTGATGCCTACCTGCAGTTTGGAATTGGGAAGAGAGTTTGGAATGTTACATGAATAGTGCAGATGACTGTTTCTATTTTGAGATACAAGGTAGTGTACCCAAGGGCTGCTTAGAGGTCAACTAAGGAGTTGCAAAGAATTGGAAATAAAGAGTTTCATTGTAATTTGTACACAGGTGAGAGCACAGTCAAAATGAGTTAACAGAAAGAGATGAAAAAGAAAGGACAGAAGATTTATACTATTAACAGAAACATTTGTCTTTATTTACTTGGAATTGGGAAACAAAGGATTAGTCCTAATGAGGTGGGATTTTTAATAGTGATCATACTGTGAAAAGCCTATTATTTTTGTTAATTAAAAACTTATTCAGAATTTTCACAAATTAAATCTTATAATAATTGTGCAAATGAAAATAAACACAGGTGGATGTGTAATGATTGGGGAGTAAGAACACAACATTCGTGAAAAACAGACAAGATATTGATTGATTCTGCCAGAGGGCGGTGAGATTGCTTGGGACCTGGGAACACGGATCGGCTGGGGCTATCCTTATATCTGGATAAATTGATCATAACAAACAGCAATTATGTCTTTAGCTCAGTGACTTGAAAAACAAAGACAGGAATTGTCAAGGGGCAAATAAACTGAAAAGTGGACAAAAAATTAGCGTGACCCATTTGAGGGTTAGAAAGTATATTCATTGTCTTTTGCTGCATAGCAAGCTGCCAACACCATTTAAACAACATCCATTGATTAACTCAGAGTGACACAGCTCAGAAGTGTGTCCATCTCCCTGCTCATTATCCTTTGCTCATCATCTTGTAAAGATACAGTGAAGTTGTCTATGGAAATATCTAAGTCTTCGGTAGAATTCAGTTGTGGGACTGACTACCTTATTCCTTGCTGACTCTAAGATGGTTTGTAGTTCAGTCTCTTGCCACAGGACTTCTGGCTGATCCCCTCCTCGCTTTCAAGTTTATATCTTCAAGGCCACCAGCAGGATCTCTCACCTCCTATTCCCACCCTCACCCCCAACTTCAGATGTCTCTCACTTCTGCTGCTAGCCAAAGAGAAAGAGAGATCTGTTTCTGGTTTCTAAGGAATTTATATGATTACATGAAGTCCATCCAGAACATCTCCCTTTTGATGAATTTAAAGTCAACAGATGAATAACTGCATTGGCAAAATTACCTTTTCTATGCAATACAATGAACGTGACAGTGACATTGTATGCATGCTCTCTGAGGTTAGAAATGGAAGACTTGGGTCCTCTTTTATAGTTCTAACCACCATAGTTCTAAGTATAGTTCTGTTTAATTAATTATCTTCCTTAAACTGTGAGTTCATGTGTTAGATGTTTCCTAGAGAATCACTGAGATGATGGAGAAATGTATAAGGCTGTGATAGCCAAGTGGTTAAGGCACTGGACTCAAGAACAGAAATGGAGAAGCCATAATCAAAGTTACCCTATTATTTTTATAAGTCACTATCAATATTTAAATCACTTTATGAAAATTACTTTATTGAATTATCTTCAACCAAAACCAAAAGTAGTTAAGTTTTGATTTTCATGTCTTGTTTTTCTATTTTCATTTCATAGTTCACATTCATTATATACCATCGCTGGTATTTAGGAGATTGCAACTTTGTGCTCGCAAAGGACCCAGTGAAATATTGTAATAATACTTAGGGAAATTAAAGGGAAATTATTGAAATAGTAAAAATGTTGTAGGGGCCCTCCCTGGTGGCGCAGCGGGTTGAGGCGCTGCACTGGGAGGCTGAAGCCACTTCCGCATGAGTTCGATCCTCGCCTGCCCGGAGGTGACCACATGGCGTGGCAGACCTCTCCTGACCCGCCCGCTGCTCCCCTCAGCAGTGTACTTCGTCGATCTGCCTGTTCTGCTCCCCACTCTGTCTCTGGTGAAGCCTCTCACCGCCCCTGAGCCTCTGACCTGTACCCCAGTTCTGTATGCACAAATAAATAAATCTTTAAAAAAAAATGTTGTAAAAGAATATATAGGTAAAAGAGAATAATACATCATCAGAGATTTTGACTTGTGTTGTACCCATCAGATGGTATTTTAAAAGATTTTGTCTAAGTCATTAAATTGAATTCTTTATCAAGTAATTATTTTGATTAATATGTTCTGGCAATATTGTCATAGAATATATAATAAAGTAGATAGAAATCAAAAACATTAATTTTAATGTGCCAACATCATGCAGAATATTTTGCAATTATTTTTTACACAATGAGAATAATGATTTGTGTATGTTATTGTTCTAATTTTGGATATTTTTTAACTTGCTGAGGTCTAATCTCTTATTGCTAGTGTGTGACAGTACCAGGATTCAAATCTAAGGATGTTGAGACCTCAGAGCCCAAACCCTTAAGTGATTATGTCAAGTAGCAAATGATAAACAACTTATACCATTTACATCACTTTATGAAAATTACTTTATTGAACAATATGTCCAATACATGTTGTTCCCTTTTACATGTCCTTCCCTTTTTCAGTATTTGATTTTTTTTTTAAGATTTATGAATACAGAACTGGGGTACAGGCCAGAGGTTCAGGGGTGGTGAGAGGATTCACCAGAGACAGAGTGGGGAACAGAACAGGCAGATCACGAAGCACACTGCTGAGGGGAGCAGCGGGCAGGTCAGGAGAGTTCTGAGGCACCATATGGATCACTTCCAGGGGTATCAAACTCATGCTGAAGTGGCTTTAGCTTCTTAGTTCTGTGCTTTAACTCACTGAGCCACCAGGGAGGGCCCCAGTGTTTGAATTTTTATATGCTTTCTTACATACCTATATCACCCCTGCAGGGATTAGCATACACATTAACATTTTTAACATGGTAAAGAAGCTTGAAGTTAGCATTTCCTAATTTTACTTGACTTTGGAAGAAATCTTCCTTTTACATCTACCATCTACTTACACATCTGAGGAAATCCTGATAGGAACCTACATTTTTGAGAAGATTTCAAAATTATTATTAGTGTGCTGCTGTAGTATAAGCATTTCATGTTTGCTAGGGAAAAAGAAGCTTTAAAGAATGTAATATTTTGGAATTTATTATCTCATTTTTTTTATTTTAAAAGCTTTTGAATTGTCAATTTCTACTTGCTTGCATAAGTGTCTTTTAAATGCTAAACATCTTGTAATTAGATTTTGTGTTTAATTATTGTCTGCTAATCAGAATTATTACTTAGAGGATATTTTAGAAATAACAATGTTAGGGGCCCTCCCTGGTGGTACCGTGGGTTGGAACACTGCACTGTGAAGCTAAGCCAAGCTGTAGCAGCTTCAGCAGGAGTTCAGTCCTGCCCCAGATGTGACCCACATGGCGCAGCAGACCTCTTCTCTCTCAACTGCTGCTCCCCATCAGCAGTGTATTTTGTCAATCTCAATCTGCCTTTTCTGCTCCCATTCTGTTTCTGGTGAATCCTCTCACCACCCCTGCACCAATGGCCTATACCCCATCTGTGCATAAATATATGTAAAAAAAAAAAAAAAAAAAGAACGACCCTAAAACTTTCATAAAGCACCCTGAAAATTTAATGCCCACTACATAGAGGTACATTTCTTTCATCACATAGCAGTACCCTCCAGTGCTAAAGCTTGGCCATATGTTCTCCAAAACTGCCTTAGAGAGGTGAATGTCACATATTGGTTCATTTACTCAGCCTTAGCTTTAAGTGAAATATTCTATTATTCATAACATTACCTTTTTGAAAATGAGTTCAGGCATTTCCAATATTATTCAAAAATATTACCAGCACTCCTGTGCTGTAGGGAGAAATGGTTATTCCATCTATTTTGCTCGTAAAAGTAAATGAAATACTTGAGAATCAAGAACCAAGAAGTTGGGTTAAATTTCTTGAGTGATTTTCAGAAATAGAAGTCAGATCTAAATCTTTTGTTCTAAGGTTTCCTTCTGTGCAATGTGTAATGGACTATCTATGTGAACTAAGAGAGTTTAGGTAAAGTTACAAATGTCTATGTCCAAAATCTAGAGGAGTTTTTTGGATGAATCTTTCAGAAAAAAAAAAAAAAAAGAACAAAAAAACAGTGTCCTACTTATTTTAGACTCTTGGTTTCTAAAACAGCACAATAGTATCAGCCAGTATGCTGGGAAGGGGGTTATCTTGTATTGGCATTAGGTTTAGCATGCTAAACTTTGTTCAGAAACAAAGGACTCTTTAGCCAAACTCCATGAGTACTTAGGCCTGGTTTCATTTGCTTTCCAAAGCCTTATCCAAAGCTTTCTCATAAAGCTAATACACACAATGCAGCTCTTTATGACTGAAGACATTGCCAATCATTTATTAGTATCTCAGTAGTTTTTTTTTTTAAAGATTTATTTATTTATGCATAAAGAACTCGGGTTCAGTCCAGAGGTGCAGGGGCGGTGAGCGAATTCACCAGAGAAGGAGTGGGGAGCAGAACAGGCCGACCTACGAAGTACACTGCTGAGGGGGAACAGCGGGCGGGTCAGGAGAGGTCTGCACTATGTGAATCACCTCCGGGTCGGGAATTGAACACTTGCTGAAGTGGCTTTAGCTTCTTAGTGCTGCGCTTTAAACCAATGCGCCACCAAGGAAGGGCCCATATTGCAGTAGTTTTATGTTTCCTGTAGACTGTCTTTGAAAAGATTTCTACACCAAAATAACAGCTCCACATAAGAAAATAGTTCCAATTTGGATCTGTGTTTTTGAACAGTATGCTCAGATGATTTGAATGTTCTACTAATAAAGGTTTGTGCACATTTAGCTGTTACAGGGGAGGTCACCCAGACCCGATAAGTGGGAACGTCAGGTGGGCAGCGGTGGCGGCCTGGTTGATCAAGTGAGTGGGGACTGTGACGATGAAGATGGTTGTGGCGGATCAGGAAGTGGAGAAGTTAAGAGAACACTGAAAATCACAGACTGTAAGTGTGTGATTCGAACACTACTATTTTATTAGATTTTCATTCTAGTCAAATTGCAAAAATATGATATGGTTTTTATGGTGAAAAACTACTGAATTTAACTTATGAACTTAATCTTCTGAAAAGCATTTGTTACTTCTTCACTCTGTTTGGATTGCATGGGCTTGAAACCATTTGCGGTATTGCTAGGCTACTTCCTACTCTAAAAGATGGAATGACCAAATAGTAACCAAAAAATAAAATCACTAATACATTTACTCTCCTTATATTCTCATACAATATGAGAAATAAAGGCTCTCTACTCTCCTTTGTTATGTACGTGCATTTGTTCACATGGACAAGAGAACCAAAGTGATCTACTGAGAATGAGATGTGAAAGTTGACATAGCCAGAGCAGCTGGCCTTCAGCTATCTGTTTATCGCAGGTCATACCAAAGGCGATGACTACATGAAGTAATCCCCTAGACCTGTGCCCTACTTGGTGAAGAGACTGATAATCTCCCTCTAAATCACAAGGGCTGCTTTGAACCTATTAGACATGCCCTTCCATGACTTTGGTGGGAGAAGCATTCATTTAATTTCCAGTTCTCTTGTAGTAGATTTAAAACACAACAAATATTTCAAGCGTCAATACCCCATTCCTTCTAGGATCTTATTTTATAAGCCAATAGAAGCCAAAAGAAGAACAAAATAAAAATGACAGTTAATATAAAGAAATATGCTTTTCGATTGCACACAACAATAAATCAAACATAAAAGGTGAATAGTTGAGACTTAGTGCACTGGAACAGTAGTTTAACAAAGGACTACAAATCTCCTTGCTATATTAATAGAATTTTCTAGTGAATATTAAATATCTTATGTTCTGATAGGAGCAGATAAGGATATGTATTCTTATCAGTATTAGCAGTTTATCAGGTTGGTTTTTCTTGTTTTCTATCTTTGATTGTTTAAGTCAACAAAAAAGAGGAATATGAAAAAGCAAATGTTTTCTTAAAGGATAATTTTATTCAAGGAATTATGAAACTTACCTATGTGAATAATATTCAGTAATCATTCTATCTTGAATGTTTATATATATATGTATATAAATACATATATGTTATAATTTCATTGACATTGGAATGTTAGCAGGATTTTGAGACATTACAAATATTATAAAAAGTATCTAAGTTGGAATTTCACCCATAAGTGTGTGAGTTTTTATGTGGAATTAGTATTTTATCAGGATTTTCACTCCCTACGTTATTTTTAAGCTCAAGAACTCATTAGGTATTATTAATAGGTATCTAGTTTGGTTTATTTCACAAGGCAAGCAGTGTCAACGTAGTCTATTCAACTAATCATAATTTTCCATGAAACTATACCTGTAAGGTGGCAGGAGTAAAATATTATTTCAAAACCGTATGTTCAGTTTGTACTGAAATGGATAGGCATAATACCAACAACTCGCCACCTGAATTGAGGAGATATAGGATATAGATGGCTTTCAGCCACTCCAGGCAAACATTTAAAAATCTGCATCTACTCTAAGTGGGTTGCCTATTATGTTTCTAAGAGTTCGTACCATTGCCTCTCAATTTTTAATAAGTGGTCAGGAAACCACTATGGATAACATGCTAAAATAGAGGACAGAGAAAGTTTCAAAGGGTAGGTCAGATTTCCATTTCTAGAAAGCACCATAGTATTTTGACTGTGTTTTGTTAGATTGATGTATTAGTTAAGCAAGTTAAGCCATAGCTGTAGATGGTCTTAATGACTTAAAAATAATGTGCTCTTGATAACTGACCAAGTTGTTATTTGTGTTAAGATGTATTTATAGAAATACCATTATATCTCTCTTACATTGATGTTTGTTTAAAAATATACATCAGTTATATTTAATCAAAAAATAGTTAATTAAAAATAGACATATATGTGTTTATCTACTTAGAGCTACATGTGGTTATAAGGAATAATACTAATATCCTTTAAATTTCATGTTTTTTTTTCCATTCGTGTAAATGTCAAGTTGATAAATATCTTATTAATCATCCCTTGAGTATATTTTCAGTTCCTATTTCTGGTCATGCTTATTTCAGGCGTCAGAGAGATAGATATGCTTCAGTGTACTGACTTTTACCTCCAAAATAGCAATGCTCCTTTTTGATACCATGTTGTTTTCATCACAATAGTATAAAATAATTCGACAAAATTTCAGCCTTTCAAACTATACTTACATCCCTTCTGTATACTACTATTAACAATAATGGCTATAGCTGATAAAAAGCCCATAATGAGTTGTTCACTGTTAGGAAAATGAAAATATTTCCCTGTTTCAGTAGAGTGGTTTAACAAATCCTGTAGGATAGCAACTTATTCTATATTTTGTTATATATAGAACACTTGGTCTTATTTATATAGATAAGGATATTTACTAATAACCTGGAACTGCAGCAAAGAAATAGCTTTGAACTTTAATTTGGCCTCATCTGTGATACTTCTGTCCTTTCAAAGAATAACTGATGAAGGTTGTAAATGCCAACAGAAAAAAAAAATGCAAGTTCTGTTCCTTTAGGCATGATGAACCAACTGACCTGCTTGCATTGTCACCTGGCTTTTCAACTATTCTTCTAGTGGCCCCACATTCTGATAGCTCAAAAGCTGCAAAACAAACCAGAATATTAGTAAAGACATGTTGTAGTAAAACTATTCCAGGTACAATTTTTAAAATTTGCAGTGACATTGCTTTCAATTCTTATTGATATTATAAATTAATAGCAAAAACTCTTTCAAAACATTCATGTGGCCCAGGATCTAGTTCATTTTGACAAGGTAATTCACAATAATCATCTCAGGTGAGATGAATTCAATCACAAGTTGATTCAGATGCCAGAGTTTCAAAATAGTAGGGTGATTTTAAGTTGCAAACTTCCCGAGATACTTAATCTCTAGTTATTGTCATATTCATCATCGGTCATAACGGCGTCATGTTGCATATTTAACAGTTTTAAATAATAACTTCATGTTAAAATTTACTATGCATTCAAATATCTTTGTCTCCATGCTCTTCTCAAAATGCCTTTGCAGATCAGTCATGATTATTTGCTCACCTAGTCGTGCATTCAGGGGAACAATGGCAGCTCTGATCCCTGTCCCTCCACAATGGCTTCTTGCCCCTCCATCCCCTCTGTCTTCGGAACAGTTATTTACCACTAGGTTCTTCTTATTTCATGGGTTACCCTTCCATGGGTTCTCAGTATTAATCGCAGTTTGTAAATATGTGAGGATTACAAGGTCCTATTCTTAAACTTTATGATCTTTATTCCCAACTGGTTCCTGTTTCACAAACTTACACAAAAGTAACAATATGGTGCCTACCACAAACAGCGATGGTGTGTTGTAAGCAATTCCCTATGTATTATCTTTTTCTTTTCATTTTTTATTTAGTTATTTTATTGATTTGCTTTAGGTTTTTGATTTTTTTAGCTAATAGATCTTATTTTTTAAAATATTTATTTACTTATGCATACAAGAACTGGGGTGTAGGCCAGAGGTGCACGCCCGAGTAAGAGGCTTTACCAGAGACATAATAGGGAGCAGAGCAGGCTGACTTACTGAAACACATTGCTGAGGGAAAGTCGGTGAGACAAGAGAGGTCTGCTGTGCCAGCTCCTTGACTGGGGATCAAACTCAGACTGTGGCAGTAATAACACTGAGACTTAACTCCTAGATCACCCTTGTGTAGTATTCAAATGAGATTAATTTAGAAGCAGAAGGCTAGTCTAAGGAATAAAGGTTGCTAAATCTTTGGTTGGTCTTCTATAACCTAACAGAAATAGAACTATTGTTTATGTTTTCTTATGAATTTGTCACTAAGTGGCTAACCTTAGGTTGATCTCTATCAAAGGCATCCCCCTCATCAGAGTTTTAACAGTCACCTTTAGAAGAGAATAGTGTCTTCCATGTGTCTAGTACAATGGAAATTACACTTTTTAATACTGAAAAATAAAGGTGGTTGCTTTATTTAGTAATGTGAGATTGTAGGGTAGATGAAAATCTTTGGCTTGTTCAAACTGACTTCTACCATCAATTGCTTTAACAAGACATGCGATTAGATGGAACACAAAAAAGTACTAGTGGTGTTTTATTTTAAAAATACAATTTCTTTTTACTTTCTCAATCTACTAATACTGTATTTATTTACAGTGTAAAACTTAATTGAAATGAGTTTATATTATCTGGTTGATGGTTACTTTCCAATATAAATATATCACACAAATAATGCAAACATCTAAGATTTGTTCACAGTAGTAGTATCTGCAAATAATATGTTAAAATATATTATATTCTTTCTAAAATTAAAGTTTCATCAAATTCTATTAAAGTAAAATATATTCAGCTTATTTTACAGATAGCCCATTAATAAATTATCCCAAATGTGAGGAAATGTGCTGAAAATAACTTATTCGTTTATCATGGGTTTACTTTATTCAGTTATATAAAAATAAATCATCTTTATAAGGTTACTTAGATGCAAACCTTTGTTATACAGTGAAAGTAGTCTTAAATAATGGCTGCATGCTTTGGTCTGTGTTTTTGCAAGTGCCTGATACTGAAGGATTATATAAAACCATGCACGATAAAAAAACCATAGAATAGTTCAGAAAGTAACACTTCTTTATTCTGTTTAATATTCAAAATAGTAAATACTTCAAAATTTGTCATCTACTCAAATTTTTGCACTACTGATGCAAATTATATACTAAAGAGGTATGAAATATATGCCTAAGGTAAATATATTTTAATTAATATAGGATCATGACTACTATTCTGATTATAAATTTCCATTTTGTTTTAAAGTAATTGAAAGTCATCCAGGCTGCTTGGTAGTTTGAGAACAAGATTGTATAATGGAAGTTTACATTTTATGCTCATGGATTTATATTATATAATGGAAATCAAAGAATTTTTCACTGTATTCGTAAGGAATGGTTTTCACTGCTTTGATTTATACCCAA